GGAACAGCTGAGGAAATCCTCACCAATTTCGTTCAGAAAAGACTTTTTGGATGCAGCCATAGCTGTATACATATAGCGGAAGTTTCTGATAAAAATATTGTACTGAACTCCATAGGAAAATGAAAATTCACAATATGTATTTGTTTTTTATTGGTACCTATAATGGCTGGATGCAAGCTAGGTGTAATGCTTTTCAAATCATTATCAGCCTAGGGAGTATTTTATATACAGCCAGTCACCCACACTCTTCAACTCTTGGATTTATGCCAAATGCACTATGCTTTGTAGAATATTGACCTTTGACCCATCGTCCCACTGCTTTTGATGTGGGACTGGTGAAAAGAATTCAAAGGTGAATAATTGATTTTTCAAACTTATCGCAGTGATACTCTTATAATAAATAAATAATTTATAGGGTTATCAGCTTGGTGAATTTTCACCTATTTTTAGCTTGCCCATAATGCTAATGAAGGGATAGAGGTATATGAGTGAAAAATACCATTTTATTGTCATCGTCCCTGTTGTAATTAAACTCTGTTTCTTGTAGTTATCATAACTTAAACAATTCTTATCCAATCATCTTCAAACTTGGTTATCATATTAATAAATATGCAATCTTAGCCAAGTTCAATTAAGGTATGATTCGTTTGTTAATTAGCTCTGCTGTCGACTTTGTCGAGCGGAGCTTATCATATGAGTGATTGTCCGCTGTCGTCTGTCATTTGTGTCAACTTGTTACTTTTTCAACTTCTTGTTGATTTGATACTTGTAGTATATGTTCCTTGGGTAGACCTCTCTTATATTTGTTCATTTTATGATGATATCTGGAATTATCTAATTTTATTTTTGGTAAAAAGTGATATTTTTTACTTCTTGTAAAAAGAATTAGGTTACAGTTCATATATCAAATTACAACAAATGTCTCAGCTAATATAACCCATATAAAATAAACACTGCATACCCGTTACCAGTTAGGTGTGGAAAGCCATTAACAATTAATATGTTAAATAATTGTTAAATGTCTTCAGTTCTTTATTATCTGTTTCTGATTGTATTCATAATGATGGACTGGCAGACATTCAATTTAAATATTTAAAATGCTAATCCAAAACCATAAATGTTCGTGTTAAAACAGGAACTATGTAAACTGGGTACTCACTAAAACGAAGGACCATGATTATATCATAAATAAGAGCAAAAGACCATGATTACGTGGCAAATATGAGCGAAGGACCGTGATTACGTGGCAAATATGAGCGAAGGACCTCGATTATATTATAAATATGAGCGAAGGACCACGATTATATTATAAATAAGAGCGAAGGACCAATATTACGTGGCAAATATGAGCGAAAGACCTCGATTATATTATAAATATGAGCGAAGGACCACGATTATATTATAAATAAGAGTGAAGGACCATGATTACGTGGCAAATATGACCGAAGGACCGTGATTACGTGGCAAATATGAGCGAAGTCCTCGATTATATTATAAATATAAGCGAAGGACCACGATTATATTATAAATAAGAGCGAAGGACCATGATTACGTGGCAAATATGAGCGAAGGACCGTGATTACGTGGCAAATATGAGCGAAGGACCTCGATTATATTATAAATATGAGCGAAGGACCACGATTATATTATAAATAAGAGCGAAGGACCATAATTGCGTGGCAAATATGAGCGAAGAACCGTGATTACGTGGCAAATATGAGCGAAGGACCTCGATTATATTATAAATATGAGCGAAGGACCACGATTATATTATAAATAAGAGCGAAGGACCATGATTACGTGGCAAATATGAGTGAAGGACCGTGATTACAGGGCAAATATGAGCGAAGGACCTCGATTATATTATAAATATGAGCGAAAGACCACGATTATATTATAAATAAGAGCGAAGGACCATGATTACATGGCAAATATGAGCGAAGGACCGTGATTACGTGGCAAATATGAGTGAAGGACCGTGATTAAAAGGCAAATATGTGCGAAGGACCTCGATTATATTATAAATATGAGCGAAAGACCACGATTATATTATAAATAAGAGTGAAGGACCATGATTACGTGGCAAATATAAGAGCGAAGGACCATGATTTTATTATAAATAAGAGCGAAGAACCAAT